GCACCAGACACTCTCCTCCTAGGAACTTTTGAGGGAGGAAATACTAACCAAAGAAAAAAGAGTTCCAGGACAGACTTTTCTATCAAAAGTTGATCAAATGCTGGCCCCTACCCTCCAAAGGATGTACCCACTGACAAAAAACAATCAGTCCTGTGAGGACAAAGATTATCTGTTTTCTCTGTCTACTTTCTATGGGGATCCTAGGCTGGGGAAGAAAGAGAAATCAAAATGTTTGTTACAAATGAGAAATGTCATTTTATTCAGTACAAGGTAGCAGGTTTCTGGAGCCAAATGAATACAAATACTTGTTTAGGCCCACCTTGAAGTGGGTACAGGAGGCTTAAAATCTATGGCCAGGCTTATTCCCCAGCAAGGTCCCAAAGTCCTAATGTTAGGCCAAATCATAGAGTTGGAGTAGAGATGTTGGGCAGCCTCTCAATAAGGTAAGGACTGACTTGTGGTAGGCTTTTCCAGGCAAGTTCTAGGAACCCATACTGGGCAATGCCCACAGGTTGGATAGTATGCACCTTGCTCTTCCCAGGCAGAGGTACAACATCATGGAACTTGAGAGGACCTGCAGGGGCACAAGAATGACCACAAAACAGGCCACAGAACAACCGTTCACCAAGTACCAGCTCCTTGGCTTTCAGGGCCTTTTTATAGATGGTCTCTTCAGGTTGGAGTGCCTCTCTCTGCAGCAACTGTAGTAGGAGCCTCTGGATTTGGGGGGACTTAAATTGGTACAGATCCATGAGTTGGTAAAACTGTTCCATCCAAGCAGTGCGGTCTTTTGCATATCGTTGCTGCAATGTCTGCAAAACATAGTAGAGTGCCACAAATGTCTCCCATTGAGGCAGCTTTTCCTTTTTCTTAGAGACGGGCTGCGCCTTCTTCAACTTGGGCAATGTGAGGGGCCTGTCCTTTCCCTTAAAAGCTCTGAGATCCCTCTGAAACATCAATGCTAGAGTTTGTTTGTCCACAGAGTCATGGGCACCTGTGAAAATCTCGCGCGCGGTAGGATAAAAGTGTTGCATTTCCATCTCTTTGACGGCATTGGATAACTGCTGTACCCGAGCACTCCTGTAAGGTTCTCCTAAAAGATGCCAGTTTATAGCCTTTGGGACTGGAATCCTCTTGATGGTTGATGGGAATACTGGTGAAGGGATGGGCAGTGCTTCCTTCTCTGCCTTGTGAAATTTGGAGAGCTCTCCTTTCTCCCTCAAGACCTGGAAGTCTTTCTGGAATATCAAGTCCAGGGATTTTATATCCACAGAGGGATAGACAGTTGTAGGAACATCCTTTCTGACTGGATAAAGGTTCAACATCTGCTTAACAGCAGAAGATAACTGTTGTGCCTGCTTCTTCCTGTAGGACTCATCTAAGAGAGGCCAACTGAGACGGTGTGGGGTTTGAGGCCTTGTGGCAGCCAATGGTAACACTGCTTCAACAACAGGGAATGGCTCTAGCCAGCTCCATTTTTCTTTTCTTCTAATTGGAGGGATCCCTTTTAAGTGCACTGGACTCAAAACATCCTTATAGGGTTGTGATATGTCTGTATGACTTACTTCTAGGTTCTTCCTGAAGTGTTTAGCAATGGCTTTAAGATTGTATAGATGCATCCATTTCAAGTATCCCTTTGAAGTGAAGTTTCTGAGGAGCTGGTGCAGTCTTTGGAAACTGTTCCTGGAAAGCTGCTCTCCCACTTCCAGCCTTATTAAGGCATTGTTAATCCAGTCCTCATCTGAGAAGCTTGCTTCTGAGTAGCATGGCCTTTCAGCTGGTGCAGAAGTAAGGGATGGGGCTGAGGCTAGGGCTGGGCCTACGACCTGGCCCTCAGTTTTCCCCATTGGCAAATCCCGGGACTTCAAGAACCACTTCCACATGTCACCTTTGGGTCTATGTTCAGGTTTCTGTGGTTTCCTGATCATATCAGATAAATGGGACTCTGGCCTATGGAGCCCTTCTGGGATCTGGGCCTGTAAGCCTGTTCCCCTCCCTTGTAAAAACATACCCCTAGCTTTCTTCAAGAGCACATCCTCTTGTCTTCTCCAAGAACTTGTCTCAGGGTGTGCTCCAAGAAGTTGACTTTCCTGACCTTTCAAATCTAAATGATCCCCTAACACTTTCCTAGGCATTCTCTGTTTTTCCAGAGCTACTGGGAGTGGCATTTTGAAGGGGCTTTTCAGAACTGTTGGCCACATGACTTTATCCCTAAGTGTGGGATCTCTCTTTCCATCAAGCAATCTTTCTTTCTTAAAAGGCATTTTCCTTATAGTTGTACCTTTTCTTTTCTCAGCAAGAGACTCATCTTCTATTGTTAGCTTTGATAAGCTCACTTCCTCCTTGGAGAGCTCTGTTTTCAATACTCCCTCTTCTGGGAGTATCACCTCCATAAGTCTGCTCTCCCCATCCTTCTGTCTTTCCTCCTCCTTCTCCCTTTTCTCTATCTTCTCCATTTCCTCCTGGCTCAGGCTCTCCTCCTCCTCCTGGCTCAGGCTCTCCTC